AAATGTTGTGCAAAAAATTTATACATATGTATATACTCACAAAAAGGCTTCTAGAGGTGAAGGAAACAGTAAATCACAGTTCTGGAAGGCGGAACAATACTAAAGACTGACATTTAGATTTGACACTTGGGTGTTTTCCAATAGTCCTGGCTGATCTTACTATAGACATAGCAGTTTTTGTTGTAACACTGCAGACATACAGATTAGATAAATGGTGACTACAGATACAAAGATCAAAGAAGGTGCTAGGGCTTCCCACCCCTTTTTTGGTTTTGGTTTTGTTTTGGTTTGGTTTTTTGTTTCTGTTTTTTTTCTTTTCCATTTTCAATTAAGAAAGTTAACAACCTTAGTGACATGGCCTGGAAAGATTCAAGTGTTCTGTTGATATACCATGTTTGAAGAAAGGGATATTCTTTCCTCTTAAAGTACAATCAAAGACCATTTACATGAGAGGAGAAGAGTGACTAAGACCTTTATTGACAGGAACTGCAAGCTGGGTCGCTAAATCCATATTTAGCCAACGATACAAATTGACCTGATTTACAAATATGCCGAGCATTCTCTATGTTTCTGTTATCAGACATTATTTGTGTTTCAAGGGTGTCCAGTATACTTGAAAATGAGGCCACTAATTTTAGAGCCTAAATAGGATTCAAATAACCTACTGTTGGAATTCTGTTTTGAAAATGCCAGTATCTTGCACAGAAGTTCCTTCATTCCACTTGCTAGCTCTGCTAGGCAAAACTGCTGTAAGAACAGCCAATCTAGGTAAGACCGTAAGACCATTATTCTGGTTTCACCAATTACTAGTGCTAAGTGTTTAAGGAAAAACTAAGAGCATGGTACGTACACTAAGGGGCACTTTTCTCATTATATTCTTCTAGTTCCCAGCAACATGTGATGTGACTAGTCAACTTATTGACACATAATGATGTGAATTTTTTCTTGTGCTAGCACTTACTACAGAACTAGTCCATCTAAAGAACATTAATTCAAACAGAAAAAAGTAGTAATCTTATGTTATTTAAACTATGTATGCTGGAGCCTGCAAGGCTATTGTTTCAAAAAAAGCACTTTAACTCAATGCAAACAAAGGCTTACAATCCCCAGGGGATTAAAATAATTATCAGCACATTTGCTATGAAAAAGTAGAAAGTTGGTAAGCAGTTTTTATAGCTATAGAAATACAAGAGATTGATGTGACTGTGAAAAGTACTCCATGGTTATCAAGGAAAAAAGTACTTCCATGGGAAAAAAAAAAAAAAGAAGACGATGAAGAAGACAAAGACAAAGAAGAAGAAGAAGACGACGACGATGATGACAACTAAGATGAAGAAAAGAGGACTTATGCAGTTAAACAATGCAAGAGAAGTCAAGGTCTCAAGCGAAAGCACAGGCTCAGGTAGCACAAAGTGAGCGTTTCTGCATTCAAAAGAATGTTTTTCTTTGGGGAATGAAAAAAGAACAAGGAATTCAGAGTCTCTTCAGGTTTTGCCAAAAGGAAAGGAAATTGAGGCAGTAGGAAGAAATTTTGAAACACTAGGTTTTCAAATGTGATCAACAAAACTGGACTGGGAATGAACTGATTTAAAGAGCACGAACAACCACGAAACATGCAGACCCTAGTTTTTATTTTAAGTATTCCAGACAGCCTTGTTCACGTGAATAACTTCTGGCTCACATGAGAGCATTTGTAACTGTGAAATAACTGCTATTTAAATGCCAATGGAGTTGACAATTCTTCAGGGAATAGCATGCCATCATCAACAGCACCAAAACATGGTGCTACTTTTAATCTCCTGCTTTTAACCTCTTAGCTCTCCAACCACATGAATGATATGCACCTTTCAGTATAGTGTGAGATCAGGGATCTCCACCCTGAACAATCTCATTAGGAGCTCTACAGTCTTTGCAGTCTGACACAATTCCCTACTCCTTTTCCTCCAATTCATTCCTTCTGTGAGTAGGAGAACTTAAAATCAGATAATTAAGGCTCTAAGATGTTCACAAAATTCTGAAAATTCTACAGAAAGCACTGAATGTCTTGCTTCTAAGCTGTTCATATTTGCTCCACAATGCTTTATTCATTTAATTTATGTACAGCTTAACATAGTACCACCAGCAAAGACATGTAGGTCACATTCTTCTTTTACTGGCACAAATTTAGGGGAACCTATATTGAATCACTTAAACTAAAACAGTATATAACCGAGAGAGTGCAAAATTAAATCCTCCAGCTTCAAAGGTCTGCAGGATGCAAGAGGGGATGACTGCAATTATTATATACAGTCAAGATCCCATTTCCATGCAGAACTCCATAACAAATTAAAAAACACAGGAAAGGATGTACAGAAAACACAAGTAAAATGAATATGCTTTCAACTAGAGTTTTTCTCCTAAAGCATCTGTCAGACTTCAAGAGAAATACAGCTGACCCACAGCAGCAGCTACTGGAATAGACAGCTTAAACCGCCTAATTAGGTCACTCTACAGATGAACTATCATCATTTCATACTAGTCTAAAATGTTGGGGAAACATCCCCCCTAAGTAAAGGGAAGTATTTTGGGATATAAAGAACACAGTAAGTATCACCTAATGAGGAACAGACAAAGAAAAGTGCCAAACGCTGTAAAGCCCTGATACTTCAGATAATGACTAAAATTTATGACTGCTTCCTTCCCTGGCAGACAGGAGTATAATTAGAATTCTCAAAACAACAGTTCCTTTGTGCTGGCATGCTGTGTTATGTTTATACTGCTACAGATAGACTAGAAGATAAAAAAATAAATACTACAGCACCCTTTTTAACCCAAGATAATAGCTAACTTTTTTTTTTTCATGTGGGTTTGGACAGGGTTTTGCACATAGCTTATTCTTAACTGAAGTCACTGAGCTAATTATCATTGCATGCACAGGAATTAACTGTTTAAGCAGCTTACTGTATACATAGAAGGCTCTATTTGAAAAATCACACGAAACAAGAACAAACAAGCTATTATGAGTCACTTAATTTCCTCTGCTGCCCAAATACAGCTTGACATTTAAACAGTTTAAATTATTCCTTTATTTCAAATTTTAAAAATTTGGATGTGCTTGGCTTGATGAACTGTTAAAAGAAAAGCATCAGGAAGTATGCATGCCCTTTCTTTCATCCTTTACTTCTATACAATGACATGGATCTCTGGGAATTGATGGTGGTTAGAAGGAGCATAGGGAAACATAAGCATAGGTTTTTCTCATCTCCTTCACAAAGAAAGTACAAGTACTATATTTCCAACGTGCAATCTGGTCTCAGATAACCATAGGTGGTTTTGCAACAGAATACCCTGCAGGCAGCTCTGACAAAGAGCAACAGCATAACAAGAACTGAATCTTGAAGATTTCTTCTATTGCATGCTGTCATTTTGGCCTAGACACCTCTCTCCCCTTTCTCTTTCATTTTGGACTATTTGTGCATTGTGCCTTTCATGGCTTCACTGATCACTGCTCTTATCACACAGCTAAGTAAAACAGCCAGTTTCTTCCTCAATTACAGTGATCCATTAGGACCTGTGTCAGTATTTTAGTACCAGGCCTTGGAAGTCAGAGGAAATTGCTAAACAGCTCTACCAGTTTCATACAGCTTCAAGAACATGGTACGCAACATCACACTTACCTCCAAATCAAACCACTGTACGAAACATCAGAGAATACAGTCTGTGGCAGGTGCCAAAAAGCAACCAAGACTCATGTAACTCAATGCTTTCCTTTTAGGAGTTCACTGAATGAAGAGCTATCATTGAAAACTCAGTACCCAGTACAAGGTATCCACAAAGCAATGAGGCTTATAGGACAGGGGAGGGTCACTGAATGCCTAAGTTTTAAATTTTAGAGATCTTAATAAAAAAAGAAAGTAAACTTAACCTAAAAACTATCCAACATATTGCACGCCAGCATAATTTTCTACTTTTAAACCTAAGGAGGATTGCAAGAGGAAAGATGTAGGGAAAAATCTGTGTCAGTAGAAACACATGTAGCATGAAAAAAAATGTTTCCTTATCTGATTTTTACAGTTTGTAAAAAAAGAAAAACTTCTGGTTCATCTAAGCACTTGGACTGGCAATTTGTGCAATTTGTTGAAGTTACTTCAAGTATCAAACCTACTCAGTAATTGTCCCAGGAGCTCCAAAGTACAAACCCAACAACCTGGGAATACACCTCTCCTTTCAGTCCTCATCATTCTATCAGAGCTTTGCCTTTAACTCTTCCCTTGAATATTTTGTCCATCTACCTAAATGGATCCGCTCTACTGTTGGCACTAGGCAAACAGTGAATAAAAAGTGTTTCCTTCTCTGCTATTAACAAGCACTATCTCATCACCAACTTAAAAGAATATGTATTTTATAAGAAAAATAAAAAGCAAATGAGGAATTTCAATTGCTAGGCATTGCCTTACAACTAATAGAGCTAAAATTCTATTGTCACTGTACACCTGGAATATACTGTAAAACAAAAATATTTAATTAATATTTTTGTTTTCCACCATTCCATGAAAACTTGATAATATAATCCTTACAGTTTGCCTTACTCAGCTTCCAAAGACCAGTATTTGACTCAAAACTGATAAGTGACGAAAGGTTTATGAATAAACTCTAGATCTGAATTTTAACATGCTCTTGTTCTGCCAAGATATAATGTAAAATCAGCACCAAAAGAAAACATGACAGAATTATAGCAGCATCAAGTATTCAATAGAACCAATAAAAGAACTTCAGTCTGGCAAATGAGGAAATTCAAACCCACATGTTCAATGAGCTTATATTTTCCTTTCCTGAGCCCTGTTAAAGATCATAGCACAGGATGCAAACAAGCCTACCCACATGAAGTCAGAACTAGAGTTTTAAGTTTCCTTTAAGAAAAACAGCACAACTTTGTATTATAGCAATCTGACACTGTTAACTAGCTGATAAAAAGGAGTTCGACAACATACAGGAGATGAGCTACTAAGCAGTTTCTTTACCTAGCCATTCCCAGGCTGGAGAAGTTGGAAGGAACGATCAAAACATCAAGCCTGGAAAAGGGGTGGGTGCCCAGTGTGATGTAAGCTGCTGAGAGGCACTGAGGAATTAGCTGAAGCAAACGTTCTTTGCAACGTTCCATAAGGCACCAGGGAGCAAAGACTCTGTACGGAATGACTGCCTGCAACCTGGCAGCAGGATTTTGGAAACGGCAGGGATACTCCACATGACGACAGATTTCTTCATGCCATCTAACAACAAACAAAACAAAAAAAAGAAAAAATTTTAATGTGATACCAAAAATGTGCTCAATTGAGTGTACTAAAACAAGGATATTCCCTAGACATCAGAATGACAGAGTTAGTTCACAGAAAATCATCTCATTTGTATTCTCACACTGTTCACACACGTGCAGCACTGTGAAAACACTCATGTCTGATTATAACTGATAAGGTCACTCATAACTAAAATAAAAAGAGACCAGTCAAACGTTGTTTTCATAATAGTTATGCACCAACACATAGAATCATAGAATCATAGAATTGCCCAGGCCGGAAGGGACCTCCAAAGGTCATCTAGTCCGACCCCCCCACAGTCAGCAGGGACACCCCCAACTAGACCAGGTTGCCCAGGGCCTTGTCGAGCCTCACCTTGAATATCTCCAGGGAAGGGGCCTCAACCACCTCCCTGGGCAACCTGTTCCAGTGAGGTAGTTGAGGCCCCTTCCCTGGAGAAGTGCTCCAAGTGCTCAAAATGTACATAAAGAAAACTAAGTAACAATACAAAAATACTTATTAATTCAGAGAATTCCTATTTGTAGTTGTACAGAAATAGAATTTCATACATATTAACACAAACATATTAAGTGCAAGTAGAATGAAATTCCAAGGAGTTTGTTTTGGTGGTTTTTTTCTGTTGTTAGTAAAATTCTCCAGGAATTTAATTGATTTTTTTTCTTAAGTAATAAAGAACAGTAGATACGAATTAAGGCTTATCACCACAGACATTTGAAAATATCACATTAGGATCAAGCTTACTTTACATCACTTTTATGGTGTAAAGTATATTCAGAGCTGTGGCTGGAAAGATGGAGGTGTAAATAAAATCCTTCCTAAGCACTGAGTCATATACCTTCACAATAATTTATCTGCCCAAACAGATGCATATCTAAGCAGAAATCAGCTTCATGTTTTCACCTGCCAGCCTGTCTTCTGTAGAGTGCAGAGCCTCTCCTCGGTTTGAGATTTTGCTTAGGAAAGCTGGTTCTGCTATGCCTGGACAGGCAAAGCACTTATTGTTATTACACCCAGCATTGCCCAAAGCATTTGTATTTGGAAGATCATGCTCTAGGTGAGTGCTGACACAAAAAACCAAAATAATAACACATAGACAAGGACTACATTTTGCTCAAGCGCCAACACTTCGTATCTTACATAACTCTGTGAAAGAAGTGGACTCTAAGCTATATCATTGATTACATATACAAAGAAACTGCATCCATCATTACACATTTTTTGTTCCAAGGGTGGTCTAACCCAGTACATTTCTGCTGCAAAACAATGTCACTTTGTATTTAATTATCTGAGTTGAGATTAGGCAAGAACAGGAAAGGTAGCATCCTATCTCTTGTAAAAGTTGCCAAGTCCTTAATGACCACAAGGAGATTGGAAACATTTAAAACCCTAGCTCCATTTAACTTTTTCTTTGATAGTTTCCTTATGTGAAACTCACTGGCATCTGACATAAATTGAATTACACATTTCAATAACTTCTTTCAGAAACCTTTCTTTTCCTTTTCCTGCTGCCCAAGAGTTTATCCCCATTATCTTATCTGAGAGTTACCTTAACATTTGGTTGTCTGTCCAAGAAATGTCTGCTTATATGCTGGTTTGGTTACCTAGTCTTAATGACTAAGATAAGTAACAAGTGTCTGTTGTGTTAACTCCCAAATAAAGATTTACTGGATATAACTGTAAGAGCAGATTTTTAAGGACATAGATTAACGTCCTGATTAACTGCAAAACAACCTTGTACACTTCGGCTTTCCATTTTGGTTTATGCATAATAGTCACCACCCTTGCAGAGGATTTTTTTTTTGTCAGTTGTTGGGTTATTTTTTCAGAAACACATTAGTTCTGCTTCTTCCATTGTCACTAATGCAGCTGCTGCAGATAAATCATACTACCTGTGCCAATTAACTCGTCCAACGACCATCACACCGATTGACTCATAACAATGACCATTATACTGATTAAAACTTGCACTAATTTTTGTTACAAAAAGCTACAAAACTATTTCCCTTTTCAGAAGCTTTTAAAAAAAACCAGAAACATTCATTTATTCTATCAAGACTCTGCCAGACTAATCTTTTGCACCAAATCAATAAAAATTCCTACTACTGAACGTGCTGCACATCAGAGAGGAATATACATACTGAACATCCACAGTGTATTCCTGTAGAGGCCGTCAGAAACATATAAATAGTAGAGGAATAATCACAAAACAATTTCTAAAAGCTTATCAAACCTACAAACTATTTTAAATCTTGAATAGGCATGTCTTACCTTGACATCATGACCATGATCTTAGGTCAAATATAAAAATTCCTACTATCAAGATTTAGTAGAATATTTTTAAACCAAAATTAGCCAAGCTGCAAGCCATCAGAATCCTTTAATTTTAAATTCCAATAAGAAAACCCTATTAGATCCTTAAGTTCCAAAGTCTCATTAGCTTTACCAAAACAGTAAGGACTTCCACTGTTGTAATGTTAACACAGAATTAGCCCAAAACAGCTATCTACAAGGCAAGCATTTTTTTGCCTAAGTTTCTAATTACATAACTGAAAAAATACCTTTGGCCTGACTAACCTGGCCACCTTATACAACAAACTAACATGTTCTGCTGACATGGGGAGAGCAGTGGATATTGTTTGCCTGGATTTCAGCAAAACATTCGTCACAGTTTCCCACAGCCTTCTCCTGGACAAACTGGCAAGATACAGACCGGATGGGTGGTTTGCGAGATGGGTAGGAAACTGACTCACAGGTCACACTCAAGAGAGCAGTGATCAGTGGTTTTCACCTAGGCTGGTGCTTGTCACAAGTGGGGTCCCCCATGGATCGATGCTGGGCCCCACACTGTTCAACATTTTCACAAATATCCTGGATGGTGGGACTGAAAGCACCGTCACCAGATTTGCTGATGACACCAAGCTGGGTGGTGAGGTGAACACATCAGAAAGGAGAGCCACCTTACAGAGAGACCTGGACAGGCTGGAAGAGCGGGCTAGCAAGAACAGTGTGAAGTCCAACAAAGAGAAGTGGTAAGTCCTACACCTGACATGACATAACCAAAGAATCCAGCACTGTCTATGATCTGTGCATCTGGGGAGCAGGTTTGTTGAAAGGCACCCAAGGGTTCCTAGTGGACAAGCTGAACATGAGTCAGTGGTGCAGCAACGAAGGCAAACCAGATCCTGGGCTGCATCCACAGGGCCATTACTAGCAGTGACAGAGATGTGATCATAGAATCATAGAATCATAGAATCATAGAATTTCCCAGGCCGGAAGGGACCTCCAAGGGTCATCTAGTCCATCTAGTGATCATCTCACTCTGCTCAGTGCTTCTCAGACTGCACCTGGAATACTGTGTCCAGTTTTGGTCCCCACAATTCAAGAATGACACAAGAGAGGCTGGAGGGTGTCCAAAGGAGGACCACAAAAATGAACAAAGGGCTGGAGAACCTGCACTGTGGGGAAAGACTGAAGGAGCTAGGTCTGTTCAAGGACAGAAAGGGAGAGGAGGAGAGGGGAACTCCACTCACACTACCCACGCACTGAAAGAGCATCTACAAAGGGCACAGATGCTTTCTCTTCACAAGAAGCCACACAGAGAAGACAAGGGGCACTGGGTGCTAGATAACCACATCTAAGCTCCCCTTCCCAAAAAAGACTGAACCAGGTGATGTTTCAAGGTCTCTTCTAAACTGGGCTGTTCTGTGATTCTATGACTACAAATTTGAAAAGCTGAGAATAACATGTGAGGAAATCAAGTGCCATGTCTGAGACTTCTGCTAACTATGGTGAATACACATGGAAACAATGGTATTTTTCCAGAAACTTAATTTTTAGCTTCAAGTCCCATTTACAGGCCTATATAGTATTGTTCTGTTCATACATCACTCTGTAATAATTTAAGATCATTAAGCAGTTTTGACTAGATTGGAAAGAGGAATAGTTGTATCCAAAATAATTACATTTCTACATGATTGGAAAGACATCTAAGTAGGCACTGCATGTACTAGACAACAGGGCATTTTTTTAATCGAAAATAATCATTGGTCCCACGTTATTTTATGGGACCCTTGCAACAGAGCTTTCACATACCCAGTCAGGACACATCACCACAGGCAAACCACTGCACAGGCCAGCTCTGGGATGGAAGTCGGCAGGAAAAAAGAAGCGAGTGAGTAGAAAAAAGAAGTAGTGTAGTAGGGGTCATTAGGTATGACGAATGGACCAAGTCTAGCAACACAAAAGATCTTACAGCCAGGCATTGTAAGAAACAAGGGAGGACCTGGTATTTTTTCGGCAGGGCATTAAGAGTCAGAGGATGCAAATCCAGATGATACTGGGATTTATTAACCCTATTGCTCACTAAGAAGCTTGTTTTCACATAAAAAGAACCACACCCTTACCCATGAAATAATGCCTTTGGAATTCTTTTCCTGTCAAGATTTTTCTGCTCAGATTAAACAAGTTCTATTTTGATTCCTGTACTAATATGACTCATTTTCACATTCCACAGAGTAAATGGAAATGCTACCCATATATTTCATTGTTCAACAATATTATAAACACTAACCTGAAATCATCTTGTGAAGACACCAAGGAAAACGCAGTGTTTGTCTGGGCAGTAGCTGTGAAGGACTGCTGTTTAACTTCCTGCCAGCACCCCACAGCAATAGTGAAGGTGGATGCGGGCATTGGCATGGTCACATAGTAGTACCAGCTCAAGATACCTGTAAATAAAAAGGACATTTGTACAGAACCATCAGTCCAGCACACACTTAGTACTCAGCATTTTTATATACTTAAGATTTTGAGCCAAACCTCCCACCTTACATCCTGGCATTTTTGTCAAGGAGAGAAAAATAATTTCACTGAGACACATAAAAGCAGTCATTATTTGGTCATAACAATCCAGGAGCTGCTAAAACAAGATTAGAGAGTCTATTAGATGGTAAAAACATACTAAGTCTTATCATTATGGGAAGACAGTGCTAGAAGACAAGGAGTACAGTATAGGATGGCTGTATCTATGAATAAATGGGAAGGTGTTTTAGGACAGCATACTTGCATTAATATAAATGTTGCTAGGTTTTTCTGTTTGTCCCTTTAAAAAGAGTATAGCTTAAGGGTAACATACATAAGTACTCACTTATGGTCACAAGTACAGGTACCACACCATACTAATAGGTTAACTACTCATGGAAAGCGCCTAACATGAGTTATAACCCGCTGAATCATGTGCAAATAACTGTAGCTGTGGCAACTGTGGAAACATATAAACTTTGGTTATTTTAAGCGAACTTGTTAATACTTGTTCTTTTGCAACAGTATTCTGACCAGGGCTGTGGAAAACTATCAAAAGGAAAATAAGGAAAAAAAAACAATCCAGAGGAGGCCACAAGACTTAGAGGAAAGGAAATAAACAACTGCAGGAAAGTATCTCTGGGTTTCCTACCTTAATGACCACAAGAAAGTCAAGCTGTCCAAACGAAGGACAAGCAAAATCTTTTTGCTTAGCCTCAGATTTTCCACCTACTATTTAGTATGATAAAACAATACTGTACATGAAGTCTTTTAAGAGGCAGATAAAGCCTCTGCCTCTTATACACACTACCAACCACGTACATTCCCTCACTCCATCCCACTTCTGGCAACATCCACCATTAACACCAAAACCCTTTTGTCCATACTGCAAGGCAAACATATATTACTCCTGTAATTTTACAAACCTCCTGCTAGTTTTTGAGCAGAAGGAACTTATTTGTTCCAAACACACTAGGAACAAAATGGATAAGTGTTTTGCCAAATTCCTCCCCAAAGCCATTTTTTCTTAAATTAACTTACCAAAGCTATGAATGAGCCAAAGCAACCAAATGCCACGTCAAGAGAAAGAAGACATCCAGGACAGCGATAACTTATTATTTTGAAACACCACGAGAGTGCCATTGATATAAACTGTGCTAGAGGCCCAAGCCTGCAAACACTGAAGTTAATAGCAGCTTTACAATTGACTTAAATCCTTATAAGAGAAGGCTCATAGGTAGTCTACAATACTTCACTTTGTATAGCATCTGTTATATACAAAGCATTACAAAATGATCCACGTGGTTACATTAACATCAGGAAAAGAGTGACAATTTGAGGAATCATAATGGACAACAGTAACGAGTTCTCAACTGAGTTCTGAAACAAGCATGAAAGTCAAAAAGCAGTCACAGAAAACTCTTCCAGATCACAGGAGGTGTATAGAAGAAGGCTCTCACAACAGTGAGGAGACTGTAAAAGGAAAGGGTGTCCGTCTGTGCTATGCGAACAGAGGGAACAGAGAGGGTTACAGAAACAAGTTCACCAAGACAGGCTGGAGCAAGCAATACCATGGAGTACTTTAAAAAGATAAGGGTAATTTGAACAGAATGTCAAAATGAGAGAAAGAACAGAGAGAAGAATAGTATGCAGAAATTTACATGAATTAGCAGCGAACATATGCTATTCAGAACTGGAGCAAACCTTGCAAAAGGGTGAAGGCACCAAAAACTAAGCAAGTTAGTTTTCCTTAGTATATGTTTTCAGATTTATCTAAATTAGGACTTCCTGAAGAAAAGAAAATCAACTAACACACAGATCCTTGTCTTTTTTTTTCCAAGCCCCTTATACTTTACAGGCATTATAGAGACCACGTGAACTCCCAGAACAAGATCCAAGATTTATACTATCCTTACACACCTAACTGTGGGTCAATCCATTTCCTGCCGGGCTTTTAGATGCCTTCTGCTTTCAAACTCTAGAAAGTGTAGGGTAATTATATATTTATCCTACACTTTTTCTGTCTTGAAAAACTGAAATCACATGCACTGGCGTTACAAGTGAGCTGTCTCTATAGTGCATTCACTGATTGGTGACTGAAATGGTCCTTATGTAGGCAACATTTCTCTACAGCTAGCACGATGAAGTACTGCTTCGAACAGTCTAACCCTTATCTTCTGTCTTTTCCTCTCACTACTGGTGAGACTGTCTCTAAGCCTTGCCTTTTCCCCCGTAACTGGACTTCTTTTCTTTAACTTTCTTCAGGTCAGGGGATTTGGTCTTGTTTTCCTTCATCTGCAACCTCAGATTTATCCCAGGGCACAGACTGGGATCACAAACTCCACTCTACTTACTTTCCCTTCTCTGCCTTCCCCCTGGCTGCCCTCTGCTTTCCAGTGGCTACCTTGGAGATAGCACCACCTCTAGGGTAAGAGAAAACTGCAGCTGAAATGGGGAGATGGCTTTCTTTACCAAACCCAGCATTTTGCACCACAAAAACATTTTCAGACTAAGTAAGGTCGCCTTAGGAAGAACAAGAGATTAGGCTGGGGTTAGTCCATGGGAAAAATAAGAGGAAGAGCACCCTGGTCCTTTTATTCGCAGTGCTTATACCCTCTCCTTGCAACCAGACTTAATTTAAAAGCAACTTGATTCCTCCACATTATTACTTTATACAATTATAATATTTTCAAAATATTTTCTCTACAGGTAATTTTTGAAATAATTTTGATTTTTTTTTTTTCAGATCTGCAAATATGCATGTCATAACTGAACAAACCATGCACCAAAATTCACCTGTTCTATGAGGTATAACTGGAAAACATCCCGTGCAAAATTTAGGACTACATTAACAGGAGTAGGAAACTATAATCTATTTATAATTGTCCAAAAGAATAATTTAAAGGCCATTTATTTCTTTCTTTGAAATAATAATGATGAATGATGTAATTACTTCCTAGAATTTTTAATGCATTTAGTTATCTTTGAAAACATTAAAATTGTTTGAGTCCTGTGGAGTCCATTATAACTAACGAAACACCTGAGAGTCACTATCTGTTAATGCCAGATGCAGAACATTAAGAGTATTTTTACTTATTAGGATATTTTCTCTCAAATAGTTTGCACTAACACAATTATAAACATGACAAAACACAGATTATGTCCATGATTTACTAAACCCCACAAAACTCAGCTGCCTCTAGGGGAAAAGACAGATAGTCCCACGCAGCATTTAATATACAAAGTAAGAGCTAGCACTAATACATAAAACTACAGCTAAATAAGCAGTTTTGCCAAAAGTACTGTTTGGCTGGAGCACCAGGATTAAGATCTCCAGCTTTCTGGAACTGTTTGTAACTTGTAGAGATCTTTGATCTCATCTGAAAGCCAGAATTTCCCACAGAGCATCCCCACACTCGTGCCAGAGCATTAGTTCAACGCTGGCTCAGAGGGATAAGCAGCATGTGATGAGGTGTCAACTCCTATGCTGTAGTTCCTGATGTGTGCTGGAGATCAATCAACGCAAGTACTGGACTCCTTTGTTTTGCCTTGTGAAAAGGGAGAGGAGCACAGACAAAAGCAACTGCTGTTGCTGGTAGCTACAGAGCAGCAGCAGTGTCTTCCCTACCCTAGAGCCACACTTCCTCTCAATAACAGAATACACCCTCTCACTGAAATCAGAGATGGCAAAACAAGATCAAGGACTACATAGAGTAACCACACAAAAAGCAAGCCAGTCGATTTCACACTTAATGGTTGAATATCTACTTCTTGAACACGAATCAAAACAAATATAAAGGTGTCTGTGTCTACATATATTTGCACCTTCTATGTGTTACAGTAATGTGCTGAAGCAAAGTAAAACTGACAAGTGTTGAAAAATAAATCCAATGGTTAAAAGGCTTATATCACACACACATTTAGTGCTCCCTGTAAAGCCTTCTCTCAAAATGCATTGTCAAATTGCATTTTTCTAATAATTTTTTTCTGCTCTAAGTACTCCACAAAGAATCCACAGTATTTTTAAGCACTTTCAGGTCATACTTTAATTGTACTTGAGTAAGTGACATATCAGTAGTTTCAAACAAATGTGGCCCCGCTTTATTTCAAAAACTTATTTCAAACCCATGAGCCTGGGGTTTGTTTAGCTTTTAAGTAATTCCTCACAACAGTGCTCCTTTACCTTCTTTCCTCTGTATCTGTTTTGTAAATCTTGACAATTCCAAACAGCTGTCTAACACTGACTTGTCATTTGAAACTGTATATAAGCACCAAGATAATGAAGGTCTCGTCCATTATTGAGTCTTTGAGAGCTACAGGAGTACGATGCCTACCGCCTTTAAAGAAACCCAGCAAACCTTGCATCATGAAATCAAAATTAGCTTAAGTAATTGTGTGTGTCGCATAGATCTGTAAGCAGAATCTTCCATACTCTTGGGAATTCCATCTTGGGGACAGGCAGAAGGAAAACTGTAAGGACAGAACTGCAGTAGGTGCTCCTGCTGCTTCAGTTCAGTTCAGTGAAGTTCAGCACAAGATTTTGCCATTGTCTCATGGCTCCTAAAGGAACCAGCTTTAATGATACATTTGGTTCTTCCCAGTTCATTTCACATGTTTCACTCAGCACTTCATTAGCACAGTGAAGCTAAAATGAGTCATTTCCTCTCTACTGGCCTTTCCATTAAAGACTTCTTACAGTATTTCTTGCTTTCATAGAGTTCTTCAGAAAGGAAATATACTGAACTAGTCATTGGAAAACTAAAAAAACCCCAAAACATAACAAACCCACCCACCCACCCCCCAA